GGACATCGTTAGCCCGCCCGCCCGCCCGCTCACGTGATAACATAATACGTCCCCGTCTTCGACGGGCGTATAAAAATGACTTAAGTTATACTACAACAATTACACGACAATGTAATATCTTATGAGACTATTAGCTGGGCTTTCAGAAGTACACCTCAGACCGGATGAGAACAGACGGAATGAACAAATAAACAAAGAATACTAAATAGTGTATTTGAAACCGACAGATAACAGAAAAGAGTATGTAATACAGACACAAAGATCAACAATTATATTGGCACTTAACCAAAGCTGTTCCATGCAGTCAACTCACTGGTGCCATTCCTTGGAATGGTGGGAACATGGCTGATCCAGGCCATGAAAATGTGTTGTTTGTTGTTGAACTAGGATGTCCAGGCTTTTGACTTCTACGATTTGACTTTGGTGCTGGACTTGGTCGATCACTCCAATCCATACTGTCAGTCTATAATCACATTAATGACATATTTATCAAAACTTTTAGATGGATGAAAAGACGGATACCCTGATTCCAGTATAACTCCAACCCCTTTCTCCTCACAAATTTGAGAACTTTAAGACCCACAGAAATAAGAACTATAATACAGAAGCTCAAGTCCAGCATAGATTAAATGTCTTTATCAAGTATGCTTCCCTTAAACTTACACCGGTTCATAGAACAACATAGTCATTTGTGAAATATTATTAAACCAGTATGTCCTTACATTTTCTTAATTTACAGTGGTTCACAGAGCAACTGAAATACATTGTATGTCTCAACAAGCAAATTCGTGGAATTTATATCCCCCGCTTGCAGGACATATTGCAGGTAAACATTATTGAGGTTAGGTTTAAACATGTGAGTATATCGTGCTGTTGAGACATAATGTATAGCTTGAAACTCATGAAAAAAAAGCCTTATACCTCATTAATTATCCGTAAATATGCACAAATAACATCGGTTGGCAAACTTAGCATGAGTCGGATGTGCATATGGAATTTGGTTGAAATATCTGCACAAAATCTACAGCAATTATCACACGAAAACCAAAGAGTGCCTGAGATAGGTGGAAAGACAGAGGAACACAAACATTGTTATCAAGTTTGAAGGAATTTGGCTAATATTTGCTCGAGTTATTAAGCGGAAACTGCAGATAATGATGTTTTTCATTAATCAAGGGGCCATAACTACGCCAAATGGAGTGTGATTAAAGTGGTTGTCAAACTTGGCCTGAGCCCTTAAGGCATTTGACCCTGTTACCAAGTTTGAAGAAAATCAGTTAATATTTGTTGCAGTTATTGCACGGAAAAGAAGCGTGACAGACAGATGGACAAACCCAAATTAATATCCCCCGCTTTCACCAAAACAGGGGAAATTTATTTGGGTTTGTCCGTCTGTCGGTCACGCTTCGTTTCCGTGCAATAACTGCAACAAATATTAACCGATTATATTGTAAAGATATAATGAGTAACTGATGAGTTTTATTACATTTTGATCAATAAATAAAGGAGAATATATACAAATCATTGATACCTCCACATCTGATGTGAACTTCTGCTTGCGCTGTCTTCCTGTGGAAGGCAGAAGGTCTGATAGGTTATGTTCTTCTTCGTTTCCATAACCTCTATAGCGAACAAAACATGTGGAAGTCTCTTCATCCACTGACAAAATCTCTGCATCGTAAATCAAACCATCCTCTGAAAATACTGCTCTGCACTGGTCCCCAGGACTCCACTGAAAACAAGGGAAAATTAGGTAAGTAATCTAAACAGTACTGGTATCATATGGTATGTACTGCATTGGAGATAGAGAATTACAGTGATCAAGGATTTAATCATAATACTCAAAGATAAGGCAGATCAAGCATCCTAAAACAGCGTTCCAAAAACAATTAAAAAATAATGTTCCGGCAAGAAATATTCAAACTCAGCAAAAAACATTTTGGCATTCAAATTGTTACTCAAAAAAAGTTAATATACCTATCTAACAGATTGAACTGCTTTCCAGGAACAGGAACAGTCATAGATTATACTAGCTCACTTGGTCTAATCACTCTAATGGATACCATACAGATATATCATATTTAAAACATTAACATACTTTTCTTTTCTTGCTTTTACTTCGCTTTTTCTTATTTTTCTTTTTCTTCTTCTGTTGGAAAGTTTCTTCGACAACCTCTTCCTCTTCACCATTTTCAGTTTTGATTTTGGACTGAAAAACATGCATCATGAATAAAGTGTATATGAAACAATAAAAGATTAGATTCATTATTTAAGATCTTTGTAAAGACTAATTTAAAAGCAGTAAGACAATATTCCATAATTATATAGAAAAAGGTTAGGGATCGTCTCCTTTCACCCCATATCTTTTCTCAAATGTTTAAACTATATTCACATGTCCTAGAGGAATAAGGAAGTGCTATAACTATCATAAACCTAACGAAGGATTCCTCACTAAATCTAAAAATAATTGGACAGCTAAATGCTGTGAAATAAATTGCAGCCACAAGTTTTCAGGGCCTTTTTGTTTATGCCAACAAAGCAGTTGCCTGTTTTTAAATAGAGTATTACAGAAATTAAGTCTGATGGGCCTGCAAATGTAAATGTCGGCCTTGCAAGTCTTCGTCTATACTAATATTTATCCTGTTTATGTGGCATTAGTGGTATTATTATACATTGAATGATATCACTTTGTTTAACACTATAATATACCACAACATATCTTTGAAAAAAATCCTTTGTATTTCTCTATAAATGATCACCATGATCAGAAATACTCTAAACTTCTAATGGATACAAATTTTTTTAAAGGGACATCACGTGAAAAGGCGTTTTTTTTTTAATGAATGTATGTATTGTATGCACTTCCACTTATGTTACCTCGCTATCCCCATATTCATAGTCCGTTCCAAATGTCCAGTTTGACCACTTGAATTGTTCGGGAAAGCCCGGCTAAAAATAGCGCCGATAACGTCACCTGATTAGGCAGCAAACACAAGTGGTGCGAGCGAGATGAAACGGTTTACAAAGGGGCCCTCAGAGAGGGGCCGTCAGGCAACTGCAACTTCTTACCGCACTATGAAACCAAGTTATATGATTTCTAATTCCGTATTCAAACTTATTGAACAGTAATTATTCATCATCAGAAGTTAATTGCACACTTGCCAATATTAAGAATTTAAATTTATTTAGCTTTTAACATAAATTTGTTGCCAATAAAATTAAACAAAGGATGGGGCACAAGTTTTTACAATTTATCACAGCCTTCTCCCGTGACCGGTACAGGTGGTACGGGGCTAAACACTCCCTCAACAATGGGACAAACCTTTCTGTAAAAAGGAATATTCACGAGACGAATATCCCTTTTCAAATGTTTACATAAAGTGCATATATGCAATGACAAACTACACGCGAATATAAAAAGGAAACGTTTGTGAATTTATTTATTACATTAAACAACTCAATGTCTTTGGCCATTTTTTTTCTAGACCATGAATATAAATCTATGTATACTCTCTTTCCCACTTTCACTGTCTCCAAACGCTAACATTTAGGAAGTCATATTAACCATCACACACAATAAACTGTATGGCAAAACCACTACGTGTACATGTAGAATATGTGTCAATAAGGAACGTGTTGAGATACTTGATAATTATATTTTTTCAATACTTTACAGAGATTAAAGCATACTTTTAAATGGACCTTTTTATGCTGAGACAACTTTTCTTTAATCAGTTCCTTTGGTCCGAAACAGAAGCCGTAGTTATCGGCAGCACGCGCCATTTTTATAACGTAATCAAATATTTTTTCCCCTGTTTTCAATACGTATTCCGATTCTATCTGAAGTCGAAAATTTATTCTTTATAGAGAAAAGGTTGTTACATGATCATACATTCTAAGTCAACATCATATGAAAACATGAACTGTTGAAAAATTACGATTTAAAAAAAAAGTGTTATGCGATCCTATTTACTAGAAGTAGGTTCTCCTTCCTCAGTTATTCATCCTGGTCCGTCATTTTGACATTTTTAATCTAGCTGCGATAACGTAGCTTTCTGACGAAGAGCGATTTTTTTTTTATATATTGCGTCGTCGCGCCAGGGCAGGCCGGGTATTATATTAGTACTAATTTAAAACTTGCATGTCAAAACAAAAAACAATCGTTTAATTCAGCAATATAATTAAATCATACCATTTTACTGATCCCGGTAATATTATAAATTATGTAAATCTAATAGCGCACGTATCTCATTTGACCCCGAGCACCGACAGAGGATCAGAGAACAGAATACGCCGTGGCCATCACAGCAGTTATCCCTTGGGGGGCCTCATGGCAAAATCAAACTAACCAGTCACTTATCCCTTTCGTTTGCATAAACCACTGTATAATTAAAAAAAACACAAAGTAAACTCTCTCCGATACATGCCCATTAACATATTAAACTAAGTTCATCTGTGTTCAAACTCACACAATGATACTAGCGAGGTTAATAGTTTTAGATATTTATTCATAACATAAACAGCGCTAGCATTTCTGTCGATTTTATTTCAGCTTAACCGGCCGCTATCCGGAAGAAAACATGCACCGTACTGACTGCTAGGGCAGTTATTTTCTGCTTTGAATACTTCCCACTGGCAATAATGATTCCGTAACGTACCCCTTGCGCTATCTTTTGACCATTTGGCAACTATTCGCTTCGTAGCTGACACGGTACAACACTTTTCTTTGGCTTACTTCACACGGCCAGTCATTTTGTTTACAAAGAAATGGTGTGCTATGCGCATGCGCTAGTAGAGGGAAATCCCTGAACAAAACGTTGGTCAGACAGGTAGAAATACCGATGATTATCTTAGATTTAATCATTTTTATGAATCTATTTCAGCCAAATCCGATCGGCATTTTCCATAAGGAGTCTCACTTGATATGTTTATGTAGTATTTGGAAAAAAGACAAAAAAAAAAGTTACTTCAGCGTGATGCCCCTTTAAGCTGTAAACGTTTGTTTACTGTATATTTTTTTTCAAACAAGATTCACTGATAATCACATACCTTCATTAACTTTACAGCATTGTCATAAGCCTTTATGAGTGCTGTGTCATCCCAAAGTTCATTTTCACTACCAGAACCTTGCTGAAAATGAAAATGTTATATAATTATAATAAAATATATATGTAATCAATTTTTCAACAGATATGAATGGCTGTAATCATTTCTAAAATTTGTGATAAAAAGTCAATAATATTAAAGCGGTGCACATTACAGAGGCATTTTTAGTACTGGTAGTTGTAATCTTACACATTTGGGAAGTGAAGATGATCTATCATAAAATTAAAGGCGACATATATTGACACACCCTACCAAATACACACCCAAACTCTCACAGGTTACAATTAAACATACCATTTATTCACCCTGATCACATGTTCTGGTCATGATTCACATTTTTTACCTTAAGGGCTTTGTGTTAATTGCTATACAGTTGTATATACATTTTGTCACTTCTTTCCACTAATTATTTCAGCACTGACCGCCTATTCTTAACCATATTCATATCAATCTTCACTTTTAACAATTCTTTATTATAAGCTCTGCTTTTTTGGATGATTCATCCCCATTTTCATAGGAATTCCCAGGAATTATCCATGGTGAAAATGCTTACCTGATATTTTGACAAACTTGCTTTTTTAATGTTTATTTTTTGTAGTGTATAATTAGTCTTTGTCTCTTGCATTGTACATCTTGAAAAAGGAGCGACCTTATTTTGTGCCACACTTTGATATAATTTAGTGTTCTATTATATATGTATATGTAAAACAAAATAATAAATCTGTAAGATCTACTGTTAGGCCTTTATACATATAGTAATCACATGAACTTATTCAGTTAAGTTAATTGATGGATGCAGGCAAACTAAATTGCCTCTATATGTCCATATCTATTTTACAACTTGAAACGGGTCCACATCTGTTAGAAATCTCAAATCCTTACCTTTTGTACAACAGCTTCAGAAGAAAAAAACCCCGATATCTTAACTTTGTCTTATTTTTGTTCTCACTGAGTCAAAAATAAGCCAATTCGTTCTTCCTCTTTATCTTCTTACACATTACCTTCCTGTTTCAGATCTGACAGCCGGTATTCAAAAAAGATAAATGGTTTATTGACAGAATAGACTGGTACCTATTAACAAACCATACACTTTCTGGTTGTATACTGTACAAAGAAATAAGACCAGAAAGTTTATAGTTTGTTCACAGATACTAGCCTATTCTGTCAATACACCCTTTCTTTCTTTTTTAATACAAACTGTCGGATCCAAAACAGGAAGGGAATGGGTAAGCAAATAACAATGAAGAGAAAGAGAACATTTGGGTGGAATGAAGATTGAAGAACGAATGAAACCCTGGCTTATTTTTGATCGGTGAGAATTAAGTAATTTCATATTGAAATTCCATTGGAATGAATATCTTACTAGCTAACCGGGATTTAAGACAATATATATTCAAGTTAAAAAACATTAACTGCAGTGCTTTACAAAATATTTAACTGAAAGGTGACACGGAATTGTCGCGTGCTTAAAATATTTTTGTCGGACGTTTCCAGTACGTTGTTTTCTCAGTATCGACTATCGTATATTAAAACGAACATGTGCTGTACGTTAAAAGACCGCTACATTTTCCAGCTATAAAAACTCTGACTATGATTTTGCTGCATTTCTTGTGCTTATGAAATAATCTTTGAGCAATTCAAACCAGTACTATTCTAATAACACACCTGTCCTTTTTTAAATAAAACTGTGCCCGCACCGGAGGTAGCCATCTTTAGGTTCAGGCCGAGTAACGACCGTTACGCCTGCAACGATTGGGTATTAAATTTACCATCGACTAATCAAAAGTAATCTTACAATGACTAGCTCTTTCTTCCTGGAGGTGCGAAGCGTTATCCATCCGGTTTTGTGAATGTGAAAACATTTTTATCAAAATTATGAAACTTGTTAAGTGAATTATTCAGGTTTAGTGAAAATGATTCGGTGAAAATTTGACATAGTGTTGATACATGTAACGTAGAAACAAACTGAAGATGCGTTGGACATATCATTACTGACAAGAAGCTTAGGAGAAAGTCGGTTTAAAAGTGACAAGTCCCTGATTTGTGCACACGTGTTGGCAGAAGTGGACTATGGTCACTGTATATTAAATTTCCAATTACTGTACTTCACCATAGAAAAATACAATAATGGCTGGTCAAAGCAACCAGCAATTTTCTGGTCTGGGTTACACCAGTACAAGTTATAAAGACAAAATGAAGCAAATGAGTGAACAGGAGAGAATGATTGAAGAGAAGAAGAGAACAATATTGGAAAAGTTCAAAACAGAAACGAAAACAGCTTCAACACCGTCACCTGCATCTAAACCAGTTGGAATGCCATTGTATGTGTATTGTCTGATGCTAGCATTTGATATATGACTTTGATAATTAAGGTTACGTCTCCTGCAAGATTTTTCGCCTTTTTAGGGAAAAGGTTTTTGTCCTGTTAAGTTGCGAATGGCTATTACATTCTCATTGGAAGTCATTTAAGTCTTCCTTATATTAGTTGCTTTTGTCATTAGACTTGTCATGTGATTAATTGATTCAAACATATTAATGTGGTCGAACAGATCTGCAGCAGCACATATATATACACCTGAAATTATTCAGACATCACAATTATTTGTGACACATGAAAACTTTTTAATTAATAAAAACATTAAAATTGATATCTATAATTGAAAATATATGTAACAGGGGTGCGAAAATCCACATGCTCGATGCCCGGGACAACCAGTTTTAGTGCCTTGGCAAGTGCGTTAAAATAGTATATAAACATGTTTTTGCACACATGTTTCTCCGTTTCCCCAAATGAATAATTAACTTAACTGGCTGTATTTTAGAAGAAAACATTCAAACAATTATGAAAGAACGAAAACTTGTGAAAAAACTACTTTATTCTTTGTACAGAGGAAAAACTGCCTGTAGAATATTGTCAGTCTATCCATCAATTCAGACAATTTTTTAGACTTTAAGGCTGATGAAAATAACTGAAACTCCAGCTTAAACATAGAATATGAATATATAAAGGATTCACTCGCTTATTGAATGATTATATGTACTATAGTTAACTACAGAAGGACATTGTTTTTGCCTGAAAAACATCTGCTTTTCAACTCGGAGTTGCATTGGCATGACTAATATTTAAAGTATTCAAAAGTGAATAATTTTAAATTTAAAAAAAAGAAAGGTAAATACATCGATCACTTCTATTAAATAGATACTTTAAATTATAACAATTCTTAATTGCAAATAGGGAGAGAAAATGACTAAAATGTTTCATGAAAAATCCTATTGTCTTGAAAAAAACATTTTCTGTCTGTATAGGTATATATATAATATGCATTTTACATTGGGCTAGTAGAAAATATTTTCGGGCAAGTTGATTTCCAAGGTTTATTTGCCCAGGCAAGTGCTCTGAAAACAATTTTTACACCCCTGATGTATTAAGCTATACTAGAGTAAAATTAAGACTGGTGAACTGGATTTTTAGCGAAACCACCTGCATTGGGAAAGGAATTCAGGGAGAAATGAGCCAGACCAATTTGATAAATAAAAAGCATGCACAATCTGAGATATTGGATAATTTATGTAGAAACAGAATTTGTGTGCTCTAACTTAGTATGTTTATATCTGTTTTAGTTCGCATTCTGAGGTGAGATCTATAGCTCTTTATAACATACTGTATGAATTGTGCATAGCTATATAGGGGCACAGATGTTTCAGCACCAAGATGTGTTGGTGTATAAGACGTTTTGGTACTTCCAAAAAGTTGTTTCGATATTTATATCATTTTCAGCACTTTGACTACTTTTGTTTTCTATTTGCTCTTTATGTGTCCTGTGTGTTGCTGATTTTATATATAAAGATTCATGAGTATTTTTTGTCTCCACAAAGAAGTACCTAGCCTATTAATTTAGGTCCCAAAGCAGGATACCAAAATTTCCTCATGCATAACATTAATACTGAAATAAACAGTGCATGTATGAGATGGTTATTAAACCTTATACCACTACATAGTGTGAATTATTTCAAAGACCACATCAGAAAAAAATTGATACAAGGCTCGATCAGGCTTACTACCTGTCCATGTGAAAAATTAAAAGGACAGGTGGAATTTACAAATCATAATGGACCGATACACTGCAAAAATGACTGTAAAATATTCTAACAATACCTTATATTATGTTATAGAGCAATTTGCAAAAATACTTTTGGGCAGCGAACAACTAATCATAAATGCGTCACAATATTTTTATTTTATTTTTTCAACTTTTGTACCATATTTGGTATAATAATTAAGTGCACCAGTTGCATATAAGTTATGAAAGTGGCACAGCTAAGTAAACATATTTTCCTCAACCATCTCTCCTCATGTTTTGACATTTCCCACTGCAGCTGACACATAAAATTATCTTTATCATACTTCTTTCTTGATTTCCTAATTAATGAAGCAATCTATTATTTTGAAAGATGGCATCAGTCAATGTTTCAGTAGATAATGTTACATGACAGCGTATTTGTATTAGATACAATCATATACAGCACAATTTTGGTGGCAGAAGATGTCAAATTCACATTATCACCTGCCAGATATTTATAAGCTCTAGAAATAATAAAATCCAGAATAGAAAAAAATCCAAAATTTTATGAAGGGTTTGAGTTGTATTTCCAAAACCCCTTGGCAACAACCTTATTAGAGATCTAGAAGATGTCATTATCAAAAAAGTTCACAAAATTACCAAAAATATAAGATAATGTCACAAAGATTAGGACTGAAACCTGAAAGAGCAAGTGAACATGCATTTAGATAGCCCAATTAATAAGGCATTATTATTTAGTAGAGAAATGCATGACATACCGGTGAAAATCATGTTATTTTGAACTTGTATTAAAATTACTGATAGTTATAATATGAACATGTATATATATTTACCATTGTCATACATTTTTTAAGTTTGCATCAAATATTAATGTATTTCATTGGAAGGTGATTGTAAACTTTTAATCTATAAATGTCTTGATGTATTCTTTTACTTTTTAGTACACTAATTGGTTTGTAATGAACTAATTCTTGATATATTGCATATGTAATTAATACAAGTTTTATAATATGGATCGTAATTGATACATTTTCAATGATTTCAGAATTGGAAAACGCCCAGGGTTTAAACCATCCAGTTTTAGTAGCAAAAAGCCTAAAACTGCAGAAACAACAACAGTTAGCTCCTCACCGATTACATCAGCACATAGCTTCTTTGCAAATGATGGAAATTTCCTGGACAGATTTAAGCATATGAAAGGGTCTAAAGGTGATTTAAAATTTAACTGTGAATGTAGTAATAAAAATGATGAAAAATTATTTAATGAAACTTTAATTTTAGGCTGCAAGATATGTAAATGGTTATGCATATATGCTGACCATAATTTAGCTTCTTTATATTGAAAATTATCCTAGCTTCCAAAATTCAACTGTTTATACATGTATGTGATAGTGAAATGCATATGTATATGTATAAAAGCTTAAACTTTAATTAACAATTTATTTTGGTGTTAATATATCATCGATTCATGATCACTTATGGAATTATTGGTCTTAATGTATGTACCTGTGTATTTATAATCATTGTACATAAAGATCATTTAATTCACTTTTCTAGCATCCTCTGGAGCAAAGACAAAATCATCAGATAGTGCCAAATCTACAGACATACAGACCGAATCCAGTTCAGCACCTGCTTTGTCAGGGACTAAGGACAATGATTCTGTAAAAGCTGAGCCTATGTCACCAACAGAGACAAACATCAAAGTGGAAAGCACTCCCATTAAAAGTGAACCTGTTATGTGGGTACCAACCCAACCAATTTCGGAGGCTTCCAGTATCAATCAAGGACAGTGGGCAACAGCTGGTGTGAAAACAGAGTCCAGTGTTTTATCAGTAGGGAATTGGAATCAAGCTGTAAAATCAGAGGTAGGGCAAATGCCACCACGACCACATCCTCACAGTGGTAATATGCAGGGACCAGAATTCAATCCAAACTTCAGTAAATCTGTGACTTTTCCCACACAGCCTCGACCTCCAGGTCCACCAATGTTGCCAGCACAGCAGAACATTGCAGGGCCTCTTCATCGAATGCCTGTTGAGCCACAGAATGGGGGTGGTCCATATGGACCGCCACACGGACCGCCACACGGTCTGCCACACGGTCCTACAGTTGGCCCCCCTCCTACATCTGTCTCTAGTCCCTTTCCCCCTACTTCAGTAGCTAGTTCCTTCCCTCCCCAACCTCCTCAGCCAATGCCCCATCAGCATCTCCAAATGCCCCAGGTAACATTGGCTCCTCCCCCTCAAATATATGGCACATCTCATCAGGTGGTGCGAGCACCCCAACCTCCACAGCCTCCAATGATTAGACCTGGTCCTCAGCCACCACCCCTTGTCACTCAAAATCTTCACCCTGGTCCCCCACCACATGGTCCCTCTATGTATGCTGTGGCAAGACACCAGCCCCCACACCCTCCGGAGGTGTCTGCCTATGGAACAGTTCAGCCCCCACTCAGACATTCCCATCCTCAGTCAGTAAATGATTATGGTTCCCCAGTCCAGCAACCTCCTCAGCCTCGACAGCCCTATCCCCCACCTCCACCACCCCGGCCCCCAGCTCAGGAAATCAACTCTTATGGGCAGCCTATCCAGCAACCACATCAACAGGAAATGAATTTATATAGCACAGCTCAGAACAGAGCTCCACCCCCTCCACCCCAAACACAGTACCCTGGTGCCCCTCCCCAAATCTCGCACCCTCAGTCCCAGCCCCCACCCCCTCATCCCTTCATGAGTCAACCTCATTTAGCTCCTCGTCATCCACTGGTGCCTGGTCATCCCCCATCTTGCCCCCCAGGCAGGCCCCCAAACCTGCCCACACATACAACTGTGTCTAGTCAGGTTCCACCTCACCCCCCAGCCCCTGTACAGATGCATATACATCCTCGACCCCCACAGAACTTCGGTCCTCCAGGACAAAACTTACCGCCACCACCAGGGATTGACATGTTCCCCTCTGCTCCTCCTCCTCCTCCCATCAGTGATCAGAGGAACCAGCGACAATCCTCAGAGAGTGAATATGATCCATCCATGCCGACAGAATCGGAATCACCAGGTTTGATTGAAAGAATATCAATTAAAAAAAAACAACCTTTTTTTGGAAATGATTGATTTAACACAATGATGAGCTAAACCTAGTGAATCCAATTTGTCTTTGATTAGTTACTAGATACATCAAATATGTAATTATCACTTGTTGAAATAGAAATCAGTTCAACTTGATGAAGATCTGTGTAGTCCAACATGTTACGATCAGTACATTTTATTATTGTAAGTAGAGTTATATTAATCGAGTGAGTTAAAGAATAAATGTGTTTTTATGGCATGGTGCACCGTCCGTCGTCTGTCCGGTGTCAACCTTTTACTTTAAACAATTTCTTCTGAATAACCAAGAGGCCCAGGTTGATGTATTTGGCCAGTAGCATGCTGGGATGAAGGGCTACCAAGTTTGTTCAAATAAATGACATTTGCCCATTTTCAAGGTCACAGGGGTCAAATATGGTAAAATCTTTAAACAACTTCTTCTGAATAACCAGAAGGCCCAGGATGATGATATTTGGCCAATAACATGCTAGGATGAAGCATTTCCAAGTTTGTTCAAATGAATGACCTTCGCCCATATTCAAGCTTACAGGGGTCATTTGTCTTGAAAACCTTTAAACAACTTCTTCTGAATAACCAAAAGGTTCAGGTTGATGATATTTGGCCAAAAGGATGTTGGCATGAAGGGCTACCAAATTTGTTCAAACAAATGACCTTCACTCATAATCAAGGTCATAGGGGTCAATTGTCTTAAAAACCTTTTTAGGACTTTTGTATAACCAGAAGGTCCAGGGTGATGATATTTGGCCAGAAGGATATTGGCATGAAGGGCTACGAAGTTTGTTTAAATGAATGACCTTTGCCCATTTTCAAGGTCACAGGGGTCAAATATGTTGAAATCTTTCAGCGACTTCTTCTGAATAACTTAAGCATACAGGGTGATTGTATGCTGATGTGAATGACCTTGACACACTTTCATGGTCACATCTGGTCCATAGTGCATAAATCTTTAAAAGTCATCTTCTCAATAAACAGTTTTATTATTCCACTTTCAAGGTTACAATTGTGAGATTAATACCAGGTGAGCGATGCAGGCCGATTGGACCTCTTGTTTGTATTTAATCTATATGAATCATTTTAGGGATAAAAACAAATATCGAAATATGAGGTGAATAGAAAACTTAAAAACTTTTTTTTTAATCCATTGTTCATGTACAATATTAAACTAATCTCATACGTAAACACTCAAACAGCAAAGTTTCCTTACAAACATGTAGTTAGTTTGATCCATGTATGCATCTTCATTTCAGTTAAACTCAATTATGAAATGAGAAAAGAGAATTCTCCACCTAGGTAAGTTTTGTTGTCTAAACTTCTCACATACAGAATGAGTGAGAGACTGGTTTTTATATGCCCTTCAATAGAAGGGATGTATTATGTAATCATGTGAGCGGGCGATTGGTCTGGCACGCACAGTGTCCGCTCGATATCTTGAGTAATTTTCAACGGATTTAATTCAAACTTCATGTGAAGGTTAATGTGTGATGGGCGTATTATGTACTGCTTTACAATAACCTTGTTAAAACTTAGTAAAATTAGTAAAATTGTTCTTATTTTATAAGTTTCAATTGTAGCAGTTAACTCTGCTGGAAAAATGTCACATTCTTAATTTGGATAAGGTTAAATGAAAAATAGTCATTATACCTTACTTCAAATAGGCTTTTAAAACCTTACAAAGAAAAAAATATATTTAGTGCAAAAAATATTTAAAATATAATAGCTTTACAGTATAATTTCTTCAATTTGTGGAAGAAATGTGAAAATTATTTAAATAAGTTCAGTATGTGGTTATTGAATGTTTCTATTTTAGGCAACCACCACAGAAAATGAAGATGGGTGACATGTTTGATTTACCAGAACCTGAAAAACAATCGGTGAAAAGAGAGAATGAAGGTATTTAACTCCCAATAAAAACATGTATCCGTATTTTTAGCATTGTGCTAATCAACAGTGAATGATATCATTTCAAGTATACCTATATCCCTTTCTCTATTTCCTTGCTATACCTCCATATACATGTTGTTAAAAAGATTTTATTGTTTATAGGATTATGGTTGCCTTCTAGCTAAGCGCAAGAGGGAATTTCCCTTTAGCTCAATCGGTAGCTGGAAACTTGGGGCCGGGGTTCGATCCCCGGTGGAAGCATACTACTCTTATTCATGTTACCCTATTACCAAACTAGCTCAATATGCAGAGAAAATATAACAACAATCAAAGTTAGTCCGGCTGAAGAAATAGTCTCTATAATATTTTGCTTATGTAATCTTTAACATAAGTTTCCCTTAACAGTTTTTATATGGTAAGTCATCGTGTATGTAGTACAGGTAAAAACAGAAAAAGGTGATGTAATATTATTTCAGGAAAGTAGAAGTTTGTGTTATTGAACAGTTCTACCTCCTATCACAATGTAGTCCAGTGCTTGTGTATTAGAAGGAAAACGTCAGGTTTTTCAAGTACGAATTTGTTGATTCTGATACCAATGAAGGTTAAACCCCAAGAGAATTCGATACTGATAAGCTGCTTCTAGTTTATCCACCAGAGGACCCGCACCTACGAGAAACTATTGAAAGATTTGCAGTCCAAGTCGCAGAGAATGGTTCCGAGTTTGAAGGAAGAACCATGTGCGAAAATGTCAGCAACCCTTCATATTGGTAGGTATTATTCCCCATCATTGTTTTCATGCTCCCCTCATTTTAATTGGGGGAGGGCTTTGATTAAACAAAATAAGAATGAGAATACCTGATATGAGTTCACATTTCGAGGTTCCAAGGTCAAGGCCTACTGGTCTCTTATACTGTTTATAGAATAAACAAATTCAGTGTCGTCACTATGGTGTCTTCATTTCTCAATAGATTTTTATCATTAAACAAAGTATGAGAATATCTGGGATGAGTTAGTGTTTCAGGTTCAAACGTCAAGAGTCACTGATTATTTTTAGAAAGGAAGGTCACAGCAGCATTCATGTCTTGACATTTTCTAGTTCCTGATAGATGTATTACTTGTCCAAGCCCTCACCTTTTGACTTCTTTAAATGTCTTTTCTGTCTCTGTATGGATTGTCACCAAATTTTGTGTTTTCTGTGCAATATATTTTCCATTTATGTATTGATTTCCACCACATTTTTTCTTTTGTTGCATAAGGTTAATGTTCTAGCCAAGCTTAAATATCATTAGGTTGGGTTTAAAGGGTTCAGCATCATATGAACATCTGAGGTCATTTAAGGACGTATTTAATAATAACAGATTTAATGAGGTTACAGGCAACGTTATGAGTCATACTTAGTGTTTGTACATTATAATGATTGAAATTAATTCCTTGAATTTAGTGTTTTTTGAAGCAATAACATGACATTTAACAGCTGTAGATGTAGGCTCCCCTGGTCCTTGTGTTGATCGTTATAACGTTTTCATTTATGCTCCTCATGAAGTTTTGGAAGAGGAATAGAGATGGTTCATAAATTTCAAGCACAATTTTTTCAGCTTTGCATAAAAATGTCTATTGTGAGTGTGTCTTTATGTTGCCAGGTTTCTGTTCAACCAAAGCAGTGATGCCTACAAGTTCTTCCGTCAGCAGGTCAAACAGTTGACGAGATGCATGGGACGACTGGATGATGGAAACGAGGGAGACATTGAAGATGTTGAAGGTGATTTGTTATCTTAAGGCTGTTCCATAAGTACTGGATACCAGAAAATAATCCTTGTGAAATCACCACACTTTACCATTAAAGTTAATATCCATGTGTTATATCCATGTGTTATAATAAATTTCAACCGTTACCATGGAAGCAATAGATACTGTATGGTAAACCTTCAGTCAACTCCACTTAACAGAAGTTCAACCACATCTTGTGATAGATGTAACCCTGCTTGTTGATCTCCTACCTATCACTGAAGGAGACTATAGGTTTGCACTCCATCAGTTGGTCTGTCTATCAGCCAATCAGTCTATGCACCAATTGTTTCACTGCACAACCCATAAACTTGTTTATCTATTATTGCCAAATTTTGTGTATGAGTACCTGTTGGGATGATGCAGTGTGACATACTAAAATCAAGTCTCTTGCCCCATTATATACGAAGTTGTGGCCTTTTGTTCACTGTGCGGCCGCAGGTAGGGAACACCGGATTGCATGCAAACTCTGCCTTGTTTAAATTTATGTTTAAGTACAAAAAGAATGGAATCATTAAATTCCAGGTCCGATTTTGACTAACAGGGTCGAATCTCAGCCTTACAAATACAAACAGTAATGTTGGGATATTGGGTTTACTCAAGCTTGTATGGGTGACCATTGTAGCCTACTGTTGTAAACAACATATATGCCGCATGTTGTAGCATTTATGTTGTAAACAACATATATGCCGCATGTTGTAGCATTGATGCAGTTATCGACATGCATGCACCAGCTATTAACTTGAGGCCCCAACTATGTATGAATCAAATTGTACTGTTCATTATGAAGAATGGAACATTGAAGCTGTAGTATCACCGTAACAATAAGTACTCGCATAAAATCTTCATATTAAAAAAAGTTGAATTACATCAGTTTTCACAAAGGTAGTTAATTTTAACTCAGATGTTTATGGTTTGTAATGTGATACATATGTGAGTTTCCACTTGAGAAGATGATATCCGCACTAGTATTCACACCACATTCTGACAGATTTTGTTATGTAGATTGATACTGTGAGCTTCAATAGAGATTGTGTCTAGTACATCATGATATTGTTATAGTGGTTGTTAGATTAAAGTTGTGCCAGAGTCACTAAATTATTAGATAATATACAACTATGTTTGTCTGTTGTGATGTTACACCAATCTGATCCCCTTTTCTCAGGAATGGAGAAGAGGGGAGAAAAACTGAGGAAGAAGCGGAGGAGTAGATGGGCTGATTCAGAAAGCGGAGGTGATGCCGGTTCAAGCCAGTCTGCTTCTTCTCAAGACCCTTCAGAGGCAGGGCCAGGTAAGCGCAATTACATACAAATATGGAAGTGGATGTAGTAAGGGGGTGTACCTTCCTGTCTTAGTAAAGTCTCAGTGAAATTCTCTTGTAGCAGGCATCTATTTTCTCACTGTTAAGTTACCTGTAGGTGGAATAAACCCAGTCAATTTTACCATTTAAGGACTTTTTTTCAAAAACGGTTGCACAATCCAAAGAGGAGTGCTCTTCATCCTCAACCTGGCAACCATTTTGATATAGTGACTGCAAAACACAACACTTTGTTACTTTCATTATTATGACTGTTTTTAAAAAATCCAATGTCTGCCTTTATTTCAAACAATGTTTTCATGCGAGGAGCAATGGGAGAAATCTCATCTCTATGGTCTGACATCACAATAAGAATGCAGTTTAGATATAAGCAATTCAACAGGCTACTGAACTACATGTATTTACATATAAGACCTTTACTGAATTGACTCTACTTAATAAACAAACTAAACAGAATGTTGCTTTAGGGGAACATACGAGAAACATTGTTGTATTATAATGATATTCTGCAATGTGAAGTACAGTAAGACATATATAGAACAATTGTTTAATTTTATTTATTTGTTCTTAAATTAATTATTTATTTACTGCGTTTCTTATTTGCGTCGTCCTTTAAACGACATTGGCGGAACAGCCCTATTTGAATAAAATTGGTGCCAATAATTAACCATAGTCATTGGAGTGTTTGACGCAGGAGCATTCTCCATGATATCCGAAGCAAAGCGACAAGACTCTCATTGAACAAAGTCAATCCATGAGGTCATAAGTAAACCAAGGTGTTACGTCACGAGAGTTTTTGCTTTCATACTCAAATGAAATGCATTTCTGCTGGTAAGGTTCATGCAGAGGGTTGCAGCGCAAATGTAAATATAAACTTGTGACTATAGAAAATGGTTATAACATTCCTACTGAAAAAAGTAATTACACAAACAATAGTGTTCTAATAAGAGACTGGAATTCAGTATAAATGTATTTAATACTAATAATAGACTATGATATTCTATATTGTTGTATTTCTCAGGAATATGATATTTTACTGATATAAAGAATGTAGTATTCTATAACATTACTTATAAGAGTATGATATTCTGTAATGTTTTATTGTATAAATCTTACAGCAACTTCCAAACCGCAGCATCCTCCCCAGGTGACTCTTCAAGACTTCGCCAGAAAAATGGTCGGCAGTGACACTCTCAATGAAGATCAGATTCAGCAAATCAAAGAACAGCAAGAGGTCAGTGGATACTGGGAAATATTAAACCCCACCACCTTAGTTGGGGGGTTTGGGGATGGATAGATTTATAAAGTAATCACTTTTTCATTCAGTCTGTCTATAGTAAAAAGCTCATAGTATGTCATGGACCTCTCAATTGCACATCAAGTTCTATGCCTGATTAGATTTGGCTGGCTATCAGCTAAAGGTGTCATTTTCTCACAGGCCTTTCACCAAGACAGTCAAACTTTTATTCCTAATGACGAGAAATGATATAAGGCCACCTACCTGACCACAAGTGGTATATCTATGCAAGGCCCTGCTGACTTTGACTTTATCTTAAAATGAGTTTATAAGATTGCTTTTCATGTAAATAAGAACTGCATGCATTTGTCTTTGAAATGAATCTCCTGTATGTTTGTTGGAAAAAAACGTTTTGAAAGAAGTGTTTTCTGATGTGAGATCGTACTGAAAAATAATTAAATGCGTGTCCTCCGAGTCTAAGACTTCGTTGAATGAGTTAGGAATGTAGCAGAACTGGACTGGACTGGGTTCAATGTCTGCAACCAGGTAGCTCAATTGGTTAATTCGGAGGGTCCCGGGTTGGAACCCCAGTCTGGCCATTGCATTTCTCTATCTCCTGTTTCACATACCGTACATATTTAAAGTTTTAATTTAAATACATACCGTTTGTTCCATTACACATATGTAATTTAAATACAGCTGATTTATCCAGTTCATCATTGAACAAGAATAAGTTCATATACTGTAGCTGCATATGAAAAGTGCTACATCTTCAAGAAAATGAATTAAAATGCAATTTTGGAAAACAACTAAAGATATGTTTTCATGTTAGTCACTCAGCAGTTAAAAATGAAACTTTTTTCAGAATATTTCTCTGACTGTTTTACTTTTTCCTTCAGTTGAACATGATGTACCAGTTGATTCTGGCCCAAAAGAAAGCCAAGGAAGCAGCCATGATGGCCGAGCTGCCGGGGATGAAGGCAAGCCAGAAATACGAGTACGACTCTGATGAGGACACCGAGGGAGGCACATGGGAGCACAAAAAACGCTCAAATGAAATGTTAGCCACCAGAGGTATATAACATACATGGAAAAAATGTAGATTATGTAATACAAAAACAAAATAATCTGATAAAAAGAAAGCGTTTTCTAGGATATTTCTTTTTGACCCTTCTCATTGAAAGATGTTTTTGCAATTGAATAGTCAATATAAATTCTCTCACCAAGTTTTCCATTATTGCACTTTATTCATGCAACTTCACATACATTACAAGCTCATGTTTGACCTTGGGTCAAACACCAGGTCACCATTACTACAAATAGAACTTTAATCATTCTGAATACTCATTGAAGAATAGCTAGAATGCTGTTCCAGAAAATACCCCAGGTATTAAAGTGGAAATGACAGGAACAGGGCTTTTTGAAGGCCATCTAGGGGTTGAATTAGGAGGCACAGTAGTCTAGTGGTAGGACGCCGTGCTCGTGACCCAAGGGTTGCGGGTTTGAGTCGTGGCACAGCAGTGTGTTGTATCTTTGAGCAAGATACTTTTCTCCCCTTGTTCCAGTCTACTCAGCTGTAAATGAGTACGTGGTTGGGCAGTGCTGGAATTGTAAAATGCAAGCTTTGAGCGCCAAAATGGCAGCACTGGTTGCAAAGGCCCTATAACCACGGATAATCATTTGTGAACCACTTTGAGACGACCACGAAATAGGTTGTGATAAAGCGGTATATAAGTACCTCGAATTATTATTATTATTATTAATAGAAAATAGTGCTCTTCTTCCCAAATAAGCTTCAAAATCTATATCTTTCATGAAAAGGGAGGTTTTATTCTTGAAATGACACTTTGTAAAATGTTAACAACTTCTTATGTTTAACATGAATATTATCAAATATTGAATGCTGAAACTCGTTAAGATTTTCTCTAATTTTGTCAAAACTGTTGTTTGCACAGAATGGGCTGATTCTTTGACTGAAGCAAACAGAGGAAAACATTTCATTGGAGACTTCCTTCCTCCTGCTGAACTGGAGCGCTTTATGGAGACATACAGGGTATGGTCCAATGGAGAATGGGATTTTTTCATCAATAAATGTCTAGATATTACAGATGTTGCATTCATACACCACGGACCCCACAGTAGAGTTTGTTGATTACTAGAATCAGCTTGTTAGGGCCCCGTCCAGTCTATACGGGTTCCCTATAGTAATCACTCTGTCTGTCTGTCTGTCCGTCCACAAATTTTGTTCCTGGCTGATAACTTTGGTATCTATGGACTGATGTACATGAAACTTGGTCAAGATGTTCAGTTCACAAAAATACACATTGAGGTAAAAAGTCAAGGTCAATGGTCAAGGTCATTGGGTTCAAAGGTCAAGGTCAAATTTTACATCTTTTCACTGATGAACATTTTGTTATGACATTATGAAGCAAAGTTGATCAAAATTAAACAAGGAGTCAACTGACTTAAGGTCAAGGTCCTCGGGTTAGGGGTCAAGGTCAAATTTTGTAGCTTTTCACTGGTGAACATTTCGCTATGACATTATGAAGCAAAGTTGTTCGGAATTAAACAAAGAGACACACTGAGGTAAAAAAAAAAAAAGTCAAGGTCAAAGGTCAAGGTCATTATATTCAAAGGTCAAGGTCAAATATGCATCTTTTCACAGATGAACATTTTGTTATGACATGATGAAGCAAAGTTGATCAGAATTAAACAAGGAGACGACTGACCAAAGGTCAAGGTCATTGGGTCAAAGGTCAAGTTTAAATTTTGTATCTTTTCACTGGTGAACATTTCGCTATGACACTTTGAAGCAATGTTGCTCAGAATTAAAAAAAGAGTCAATTGACCAAAGGTCAAGGTCACTGGGTCAAAGATCAAGGTTAAATTTTGTACCTTTTCCCTGATGAACATTTTGTTATGACATTATGAAGCAATGTTGTTGAGAACTTAACACAGAGTCAACTGACCTTAGGTCCAGGTCACAGGGTCCAAAGGGTCAAGGTCAAGTTTTGTATTTTTCACTGATAAACATTTTGTTATAATATTAAGAAGTAAAGTTGGTCTGAATTAAAGAATAAGTCAACTGACCAAAGATCAGGGTCACTGGGTTAATGGTCAAGGTCATTTGGGTCCAAAGGTCAAAGACAAAGTTGATCTCTGACTTTGACCCTGGAGGAGGTTTATTAGGTGAAATAAAACAAATCAAAGCTAACAAATGAGTGTTGCACTGGTATTTACATTTCTGTTAGCCCAGCAAATAGGGAGGTGGAAGGAAACTAGACTCACATCATAGTACATGTAAAATGTATTTTTTGCTTCCTTGCGATTCTTTTTGAAGTCCAAATGTCAAACTTCAAGCTCAGCTATATGGGCAGATCGCTTCTTGATGATTATGGGGGATATATTGCCACAAGACGGGGCCCTTACTGACCTGTCAGTGTTCTAGTTCATCTGTCCTTTTGAATTAAAGAAATATCCAGACAAATACTTTTTCGCTACAAGACCGATTTCAAAGAAAATTCTATGTATGACCCTTATGTAGTTGTGTCATTTGCACTTCGGTTTTAGTTTCCAGGTAAACTTTTCACAATAGCCATCATTTTATCTGTGACACATTTTTGTTCACAATGATTTGAAATATGGGCAAAAAGAAGCAATTTCTGTACAGTTTTTGTATATAAAAGTATAAGGAGAAATAAGTTTTCCTTGTCTTATTCCTTTGTCAAGTGAAGTTAGTATGTTAACCCATCTCAACACATCCATGGAAAAAAAACTCTGTATTAGAAAGTACAAATGTAGCTTTTTCTTTTTGCATGTCAGTATTGAATACATTTTACAACTAGAATGCTTTGGAAGGCTATGAATATTGAGAGGCTAGCAAAGATTGAAATGTCTTCCAATGGAGCCAGAGATATCAAGCATGAAAAAATATATCTGGTATCGAAAGATATTGCCGTATTCTAGAGACAGTATCCAATAAACATACAGAAAAAAAGAAAATGCTCTATTGAAAACCTCCTGTCATGACCTGAAAACTAGCTACCAACATTTGAGCGTTGCTTTTAACCAGTGGCCCCCACAGACAAAGCATATGTAAAGTATCAGTTTGATGGTAGAAATACTATTATGATATTTTCAAGATGTTAATTGAATTTTGCAACCAATGATGGCAAATATTAGTAGAAAATGATAAGTACAATGAAGTAACAATGTGAAGCAAGACATTACACCAGTTACTATCTACCAATCCTCTTTATACATTTTATAACAGCACAGAATTAATTAAAAACTCTATAATTTTCCAGGCTCTACAGGAAGGACGTGAGCCAGACTTGTCAGACTACAAAGAGTTCAAGATCACCTGTGAAAACCTTGGGTACCAGATGTTACAAAAGCTGGGCTGGAAAGAAGGGGAGGGGCTAGGACCAGAGGGACAGGGCATCACTCAGCCTGTCAATAAGTAAGTATCTTGTGGAAGGGGCGGGACAGGGCATCACTCAGCCTGTCAATAAGTAAGTATCTTGTGGAAGCGGAGGGACAGGGCATCACTCAGCCTGTCAATAAGTAAGTATCTTGTGGAAAGGGAGGAGCATAATTAAAAGGGCAAGATAACTATTTAAGGAAGGGTAGAGATGTGGTATCACTCAGCCACTCAGTCTGTCAAAGAGTAAGTATCCTGGGAAAGGGAATAAGTTAATGTTAAAGAAGCAGGGTATGATATACCTAGAAATCTTTTACCCGGTCAAACTTTTGCCCTTCACTGGTAAAATCTGCTTTCGCCCTGTGCTATTTTCACTCCTCGCATATTAAAAAATTAGATGTGGTATTCAATAGTATTCACTGTCATGATAACTTGACCTCAATACAGAAGATGAAAAAGGGGAAAATCAAACTACAGCAAAATGTACTGATACACAGAATCACTCAAACTGTCAGCCATAAAGAAGAGAAGGGTTGTAACTTATAGCAAAGTTTATTGATACACAGAATCACTCAAACTGTCAGCCATAAAGAAGAGGAGGGTTGTAACTTATAGCAAAGTTTACTGATACACAGAATCACTCAAACTGTCAGCCACAAAGAAGAGGAGGGTTGTAACTTATAGCAAAGTTTATTGATACACAGAATCACTACAACTGTCAGCCATAAAGAAAAGGAGGGTTGTAACTTATAGCAAAGTTTATTCAAAAACATCACAAACAATATCACTTACACACATAATCAACTCAATAACCATCGTTTGTTGCTGTTGCTTGACAAGGTTATTTAACAGTTGTGAATGTTAGCATGGAACACGTTCAACTTTTTGAGGCAAGTTATTTTAGGTATTGCCATTTATTCAGTATGTGTGCTAGCAGGTTTATATTTTACTTAGGAGATCAATTGGGTGTTAAATTGATGCAGTGATGCAAAAACTGGAGAGAAAGACAACTTTTTTTTCTCTCTTAATTTCACTAAAAACATGTTCACTAAAGTCACTAGGTTTAGGTTTCTGGTCAAGATATGTGAAGTGTATCAATGATTCAATCTGTGTTGTAGCATGCTGATATTTTATATGACGGATCATTAGGGGTCTACTAGGAGTGGTGTGAGTGATTATGTGACAAATGCAGTGAATGTTTTGTGACTTATTTTTATCATAAACAGTTTGGGAAATTTTGACTAGTGATGTTTTCCATATTTGCATCACAATGCAAATTTCCATGGAGGCTTCTTTAAGATCTGATTTTAATATATTGCTCCTAAAAGAATGATGTATAATCTTTTACTTCAAGTTACACTTATAAGTCTTCCACCTGTACTCGTAGATAGGACTACAGGTTTGCACTCAGTCCTTCAGTCAAACAGGACTACAGGTTCGCACTCAGTCCTTCAGTCAAACAATCCACCAGTACATAACTTTATCTAGAGAACAATTCATACACTTTGTCACCTAAACTTGCCAGAGTTTGTATCACAGTACATCTCTGACAACTCATTCACCCCTAAATTTTTAAACTGGACTTGCCCAGTCTTTTAATTTGGTAAGGTTTAAATGTGACTTAGGGATGAATGGTTAAGAGAACTGTTTCATGTTGAAATCAATGCTCTCGCTATATACGGAGTAATGGCCCTTTGTTATTTATTAATATTGAAGATTTTCTACATGTGAAGAACTAGATAACTTGCAATACTTTGCCATGTTATAATGTAACATTTACCTCTATGGTTCGTCCCTTGGATTAATAGTTTAAAAGGGTTAGATTGGCATATTGTGTTCAGACGGTGAAATCCACATGAAATATAATGACAATAATAAATCCCTGTCCTTGATGTGCTATCCTATAGAGGTAACCAGTCTGTAGAAGGAAGGGGGCTTGGCACAGAGCGCCCTGCAAACCTAAGCCGAGACGATGATGAGTATGATGCCTTTCGTAAACGGATGATGTTGGCTTATCGCTTCAGGCCAAACCCTCTGGTAAGCAATCAGTCTTGTCTCAAGTAAGAGGTTGAGCAAAACAAGAATCTTTAGAAGGATTTCCTACAGTTAGCATGTCAATTTGTCTGTTTGGGACAGGTATATATTGTTCTATCCAGTACTCATGCTAAAAAGTCAAACTAATAATCCACAAAATATTCAGTTGGTCAGATTTGTTCTTATGCATGTGTAGAATATACATATTTATTGTGTACATCTTGGAATTTACCTCTACTATTGATATAGTGAAAGCAAATGTGACATCGATCTGCAAGGTAAAGACAGACTCTAAACGAATTAACAGGGAATAAGTGCCAAGGTCATTTGAATAGGGGGAATAAGGCATTATGAGTGGAAAATATGGTTCAGGGTTCATGAAGGGGATGTTGGTGTCTGGATAGGAGGTCTAGACTAATTGCTGATCTGCAGTTTGAACCCAGATACAATTTGATCGTTATGGTTTGTTGTGCTTTTCTATATTTCAGAACAATCCCAGGAGACCATACTACTAAGTTTTGTAGGGATTACAAGATGGACTCGCCTTGTAGTGCTATTTAAAAAAATGACAATACACCTGGTATTCTAGACGTGAAGATGGAAAAAGATTTTACTGCAAGCTGTGTCATCATTTAAGTAAAAAAGATCACTTATAACAACTGATAGAAACTGTCCTCAATGATTGTGTTATTCCAATTTTAGAGTGCAATACTTGTTGAATGTAAACAAAGGCTGAAAAAAATAGAATAACATCATAGAATGATATATTAGGAAAACAGTACAAGATTGCTGTAATGCTTCCAGTATTTTCATTTATTTTCTTCAAACTTTCCTCTTTAATAGATATCGCATCACTATGAGAATCAACGTGTGTAAACATGTGTGTTTGGCATCACGGTGATCACCTCATTACAAAATACTAGTTGAAGTTAAAATAGATTTTTAAAATGTCTGATTTGTCAGTATTCTAAACAAAAGTTGTTAATTTGTAACAAGACATCTCCTGGTAAATACTACAATCTGGACACATTGATTTCGGACAAAATGGAACGGGAATTGGCACTTTCTGAAATATGTTTTCAAATAAAGTTGGTAAAAAGTAGGTTTTATATGGGATTACTTGGTAGATTAACATATTTCTGTTGTTAATAATTCACTGGAAAAAAAGGTGAAACTTATTAAGCAATCAAGAATTACATCCAGTATTATTATGGTGCTGAAATACAGTCTATGATTAATATATGTAATGTGATTATTTTTCTTTAAAAAGATCGAGTTATAAAATATAATTAAAAGTTAACAACAGATTTAAGAACACAATTGTTACTATTTTCATTATTGAAATATAGATAATACATTTTTTTTCACCTTTCTTATATAAGTTTAATTCGAGGCCTGGATAGCACCACTTGTACTGTGTTGGCCTTCAGTAGGTCATGAGTTCATTGTCAGACTTAAATCAATATTGATAAAGAAAATCCTGTGGATATCAAAATGTTGAAATTTCCAGATAACCAGTCTTCATTTACTACTGAGTAATTTGTTTGGGGACCAAGTTTGAAAGCCTACATTTGTTTTGTTATTTTTGGGATACATTGTGTCCTGTTATGAAATTTTCAAAGATATTGAGTTTATGTGGTAAACGTCTAATGGCACAGTCAGCTTTTATTAAACGTTACATTATTGTGTTTGTATATTGATGAAGCTTTGATAAAATGCAAACAGTTGATTTGTGTTCATTTATGCATGATAGTGTTTACAAAAAGACCTGATTTTGTCTTGTAGGTTCATTTCATCTTTAAGCACCTACAGTGAAATGATTTGTAAATGGTAACAAAGAAACTCGGATAATGATGCAGCATGGATTACTAACGTTATACCAGATTTTAAGATATAGGTTAAGGCCATATGTGACATAATTGTCACAAAATATTTAGGATAAGATCAAGAATGTTTTAACAGAGACGGTTAAAGATCACAGTTATAATGTGAAAGGTAGCATATACCATATCTTAAACTCTCACAAAAACCACAGGTACAATGTGTATTACTAAGTATGTATCAGTTACGTTTATCCTGAATACATGTGTAAGGTAGCACCTTAACACTAACGTCAATCAAAAGTTTTATGTGCAAGGTTGCCTACATTCTGAACTCTTCATACAAATCAGTAGTATAATGTGTAAGGTAGCATATATCATTTACTCTAACAGAAATTGTATCATTTACTCTAACAGAAATCACACATTTCATTACAAGTATTTATTTTGTTTTATTGTGCAATGTTTTGTGTTTGGATTATTTGATTCACAATACTAATTATATAATGTTGTCTAGGTAAAACATGTTTTTCTTTCCTTTTTACCAGGGGCTACATTGTTTATATGAAAGCTAATAAAAGGCCCCAGACGAGATACATATTGGTATGCTATGATTAAATTTAAAAAATAATCAGAAGTGATGAGGAAAAATAATCTATAACCTGCAGCTGAGCAAGATGGGTCTGTCTTGGACCAAGAATCTGTAACATCCCAACCTCGGCTTATGTTACAAAATCTTTGCCCTCTACTGAGATAACCCAATCTTTCTCAGTTACAAGTTATAGATGGTGTTATCCCTTATAATAGAAAAAATAGATGTCAACCAACATTTTTGCAGCACTGTGAAATGAACTCATTATAAACTTGTGCTTCGATAAAAACAAAAAACCTGACAGATGTCTCTTAAATTTGTAACATGAACAAAAAAATCAGAATGTTAAAAGCTTCAATTTTGTAAAAAATTGTATCCATTTGCCTTGAATGATATGTTATAATAATGTGCTATTTTTATAGAGTTGAAAATATTGTTCAGATTGTACTCATATTTCAGGCCTAGCAGATTTTGAGAAATACTTATAAATATCCTCTACAATTTGTTTGATTTGGATTTTGAAGCTTTGAACATATTGTAAAAAGTAGTTTTATACTGTATTTGTATGGAGTAAGGGGAGGGCATGTGATCATGTGAAAAAGAAAATGTACTGTAACACCATGAGGGGCACTTTTTATAATGATATGGTATACCTGTAGACCGATCCTTTGTAAGAATACAATTAACTCACCTGGTATTTGTTAGACGGTGTTTCAATGTTCATTTGGTTTGGTTTGGTTTGTTTGTGTTTTACGTCCTATTAACAGTTATGGGCACTTAAAGATGTGCCAGGTTTTGGTGGTGGAGGAAAGCCGGAGTTCCCGGAGAAAAACCACCAACCTACGGCTAGTACCTGGCGACTTCCCCACTTAAGCCTTGAACCCGCAACCCAGTGGTGGAGGGTTTGTGGTAGCAGATTGTCAGACGCCTTAACCACTTGGCCTATGCGGCCCCACTTCAAAGTTCATTGTTTACAGATGTATTTTCGATGGAAATGCATTATTTTTAATCCTGTAAATTGTTTATCAACTTATTGTTAACAGTTTCCTTCTGTTTAAAATGCCAAGATTTTTACGGTAATCTTGATTTGATGAATTTGTATCTATGAAGACCCCATTTATGTGATATTTCTGAATATTTAATCCTGATCACATCTGAATATAATTTACTTTTCATTTTGGGTTTGTTTTTATTTCATCTTTTTGTTGTATTGATGTATTTCAGTTTGTTATTTCATATTGTACATGGTTGGAAAATTATGTCTGCATATTATGCCTTGTTTGTAAGTGTAGATTGATTGACATGGGAAATATTTGTAAATATTAACAGACATGTCATGTGCATGTACATATACATCATATGATATGTATCATATTTTGAAAGTTGGAGTTTTGTAGTTTAGAAATATAACTGGTCAATTATTTTCTCATAAGAAGGTATGTTCACACGAAAAAAATGGTTGTGTGTGCTTTGTTTGTAACAATGCATCTCACAATGAACAAGTGTGAAGATTGTGTGAGTGTAAGTGTATATTTGGTATGTGGTAGAGTCTGTACATAGATATATTACCCCCTTATCAAGAGGGAACATTGTAATGCTACTCATCTGTGCCACATCATTTATAACAAGATAACTTAAGTTCATGAGGGCAAAATCAGCTAAAATGTAATACAGAACTTCCTTGTGGTTACTCTTTCAGGTCCCGTGGTCAAGGTCAAGGTCATTCACAATAAATAATAAATTGTTTCCACACAATAATTCAAATTCAAGTAGATAGCTCATTCTTAATACACTGCTTCCTAACCGAAAGTGTCTGCTTGTGACTGTTTAAAAGGTCAAGGTCATTGTTCCTCTAAGTAGAAAATTGGTTTCTACACAGTAACATAATTTTCCTTTAGGCCGATAATCCTCAAATTTTAGATTTCATATACTGCATCCTTAGCTTTTATGCTTGCATGGAATTCCTTTTAAAGACCAAAGGTCAAGGTCACTGTTACTCTAGATTGGTTTCCAAAATATTACCTTGAGTTCACTCCAATTTAATATACTGCTTCCTCGCCAACAATTCTTGCTTTGGATGGCCTTGCAGATCCCAAGGTCAAGGTCTCCAGTCTCCAATAAATAGAGTATTACCAGGTACATTCTGCACTTCACAAATACCTCAGTATCAAAAATCAAGCCATATCATCCATCAACCTCAACTAAACAGTTTGAGTAGTATTGCTGTGATCCTGATTAATGGTGCATAATCACACATATATAACATTTGTTTTGATTAATGCATTTGTAGTTTGTAAAAGTCTGTATAAGCTTATATTTCTTCAGAAAAAAGAAATGCTTGTTTGGGAAAAAATGTGGTCACAAAATTTTCATTAAATTAAACCAGCATCTGAAGCATGTTTCTTGTATTATTCTGCTTCCTTGAATCTGTTTTTTTCTACCAAATATTTTTATTTTCATCTTGCACTAGTGGTAAACAGCTTTTATCTTTTCCTTATTGCATTCATGTTCATTGCTTAACTATAGATACGTAGTCTTTATTTGAAGCGGTTTTCATTCAGCTGTTTTGACTTTTCTGGAAGTTAAATGTATTGCATTTTTGTTTCAATAAACAGAAAGTGTCAATAATAATAACAAAAACTTGTTTTATTTCTCACTCTTCAATTGACAGTACTAGTCATTTGTCTTCTAAGACAAATTTGACCTGTATAAAATTTAATGTATGTGGTCATTTGATGTATAGAATAGGAAAGCTGTACGCTATCGGATCACGGGAGATCAAAAATTAGTCAGAAAATGGTGCCTACGGTCAGGATATAGCAGATACACATCATTTAGGAACTACTGCGGTGGACATGTAAAGGCTATATCTTTACCTTTGTTACAATTGTTATCAGTCAGCAATTTTAGTGTAAATTTAACCAATCATAAACTTAAATCAATCGGTAACTTTTCGGAAATTCCTGTCTTATGGTTACCCTACATAAACTGGTCAAGATGTCGAAAACATATATACAATAGGCCCATTTGGCCTGTACCACTCACCTGTTACTCTGTGCTGTTGGAAGATTTTATCTTGTTTTATTTATGCAACCTTCAGGCCTCTTTGTTATTAAGAAGTTGTTTAAGAATATAGCAATTTGACCTTGAAAATAGGTTATGGTCATTCATTTGAACAAACTTGTACCTTCACCCTAGTGTGCAACAGACTTAATAGCATTATCACAGACCTATTGGCTATTAGGAAGTCAATAAATATTAACACAAATGATCCCTGTGATCCTGAAGTAAGCGAAGGTAATTCATTTTGATAAATTTGATGTAACAATTCACCTTAGCATGGTTCTGGTTAATATATTGATCCTATATCTCTTGGTAAAAGGCCACACAGACGGACGCCCATCATGTCATTAGCTCGCATGATCTTCTGACAAGTGAGCTAAAACCACACGGAAGTATTCAAATTTGTCAATAATTGAAATACAAGGCAGAGCATTTGTAACCTGTAAAAACTCCAGGCAAATACATGTGTAACTTGTCAAACGTACAAATGAGCATATGTCATAAAACATTTAGTGAATGGTGCCATGGTGCAGCGCCCGTTGGTCATCAACTGTCCGGCGTCAACTTTTTACTTTCAACAACTTCTTCTCAGTAACCATAAGGCCTAGGATGAAAATATTTGGCCAGTAGCAGGCTGGGATGAAGGGCTACCAAGTTTGTTTGTTCAAATGAATGACCTTCCCCAAGTTTCAAGGTCACAGGGGTCAGATATGTTTAAAACCTTTAAACAACTTCTTCTGAATAAACAGGAGGCCTATGGTGATGATATTAGACCAGTAACATGCTTGGATTAAACACTACAAAGTTTGTTCAAATGAACGACCTTCTCAAAGTTTCAAGGTCACAGGAGTTAAATATGTTTGAATTAAAATCTTTAAAAAACTTCTAAATAACCAAGAGGCCTATGGTGATGAAATTTGGCCAGTAACATGCTGAGATGAAGGGCTACAAAGTTTGTTCAAATTAATTACCTTTACTTATATTCAAGGTCACAGGGGTCAAATATGTTTAAACCCTTTAAACAACTGCTTCTGAATTACCAAGAGGCCTATAGTGTTTATATTTGGCCAGTAGCATGCTAGGATGAAGGGCTACCAATTTTGTTCAAATGAATGACCTTCGCCCATTTTCAAGGTCAGAGGGGTCATATGTTTAAATATTTTAATTGATTCTTAGGAATCAAACACTTGATACCAGGTGGACGATTCAGGCCCATTGGGCCTTTTTTTATTTCTTGACTGTTGATTCTAGTTGTGTATAGTATACTGCCCAAGCCCCCCCTCCTCAAAAACGTTTTTAATTGATATCGCACCCCATCATCAAATAAATGGGTCAGCCAACCATGATAAAATAAAGACTTGCATACCTTCGCGTCTAAAGTTAAAGGTTTTTTTTAAATACGTTTGCAGGAAAAATAATAAACATCACATTTCAAAAGAAAAAGAAGAAAAAAGGCGATAAATAGATTAATAAAATAATAATAATATGTTCGTTTTTTATTTCGCTAGAACATTCTACTAAGCAATAACAAGAGTCAAATGAAAAAAACATAATTTAAGAAGGAACCCTTAAAGAAGGCAAACACTGGTATCTTACCTTATTTTGTACAAAAGTAAAAGAGAAAATAAGCTCCATATGACCTTGGTATATAAATGAAATTTAAATAATATGTAATGTTGTGGCATTTAGCTGGGTCGCTGAAGAAGTTGACATATTTACTATGTTTATGGTGAACTATGTTTATGGAAGAATCATCAGCCTTAATGCCTCATTTAGGAACATGTTAATAACTAGTGTGCACGTTCAGTATAGTCAAATTACATATAAATTAATTCCGTTTTTTAATAGGGGTCTTTGAATATAACTTATCAGCTAGAGGGTTGATATTTAGGATGACGATAGCCTCTTTCAGAGGACTTGTTGAACTCAGAGACTATATACACTACATGTATAAGGTCAAAACAACGTAAGTCAAAGTCTACATGCACCTCTTTCCTCTCTGCTTCAATATTTTTTCATTATCTTGAAGTTCGTACTGATAAAATGTCTCATCTAATATTTATTCTTTACGTCTTTTATGATAGGTCAACTTTACATATGAGAGGACTCCGATGTCTATTAACGGTTTCAAATGCACAGATAGATATAGTTCGTCGGTCTTCGCACTATCGTTAATCCTTGGGTGAATTGAAGCGGTAACCAAGGTAGATTAACGGTTGCCATCGTTTGTAA